TGATCTCGGCTCACTGCAACCTCTACCTCCCAGGTTCAAGCAATTCTCCTGCCTCAGCCTTCTGAATAGCTGGGATTACAGGCACCTGCCACCATGCCCGTCTAATTTTTTTTTTTTTTTTTTTTGTATTCTTAGTAGAGAAGGGGCTTGGCCATGTTGGCCAGGCTGGTCTCAAACTCCTGAGCTCCAGTGATCCACCTGCCTCGGCCTCCCAAAGTGCTGGGATTACAAGCATGAACCACCGTGCCCAGCCAATTTCTCTTTTCTTTTTCTCTGTGGACATACATAACTTTTTTCTGAGCCATTTGAGGGTAAACTCCCTTAACTTTACATACTTCAAAGTGTATTTCCTGAGACATAGTCTCCTACTTAATCACAGTACAGTTATCAACTTAATGCATTTACATTGATGCAACACTTGTATCTAATCTACCATCCATATACTAATTTTGTCAGTTTGTCTAATGAATTCCTTTGTAGCATTTTTTCTCTCCAGCATAGGATCTAATCTAAAGTCAAGTATTGAATTTATTTTCTATTTTTTTTCTTATTTATTGAGACAAGGTCTCACTCTGTCACCCAGGCTGGAGTACAGTGGAGCTATCACAGCTCAGCACAGCCCCAGCCTCCTGGACCAGGTGATCCTCCCACCTCAGCCTCCCAAGTAGCTTGGATTACAGGTGCACGCCACTACTCCTGGCTAATTTTTGGTATTTTTTGTAGAGATGGGATTTCCCCCATGATCCCCAAGCTGGTCTCAAATTCCTTAGTTCAAGCAATCCTCCTTCCTCAGCCTCCCAAAGTACTAGGATATAGGCATAAGCCACCATGCCAGGCCAGGTATTGAATTTAGCCACATGCATTTTAGTGTCCTGTAATCTGGAACATTTCCACAACTCGTCTTTGTCTTTTACGGCATTGACATTTTTTGAAGACTGTGGTTCACCCACCCTTTCTTTGTATTCCTCATTTTGCATTTGTCTGATATTTCCTCATGATGACACTGAGGTTTTGCATTTTCTCCCAGAACACTCCATAAGTAATGCTCTGTCCTTTTCTGCCTAACATAACTGGAAGCACATAACGGCCACCAGTCTCTCATAGGTGAACTTAATTTTGATTACTCAGGTGGGATATTGCCCGATTTCTCCATTGTGTAATTACTGGGCTTTTTTTTTTTCTCCCTTGCAAATGAGAGTTTGTGAGGACGCACCTTAAGACCGTGCAAATATTCTGCTGCTCATTAAAAGTTCCCTTAGGTTGAGTATCCATTGACAATTCTTGTCTGACCCTATCAATTCTATGACGGTTGCAACATGATGATTCTCCAACCCCAGCACACCCTCACATTTACCAGTCCTGCTATTGGCATCCTACTACAAGCAAGGGTACTCGCTTCTCACCCGTTCTACAATTTCTTAAAAATTGTCTATGTATGTTGTTGTGCCTGTTTATGTGCACATGTATATGTATGAATATGTATATACGTATGTGTATGCGTATTTGTAGGTATGGGTATGTAGTCATGTGCCACATAACGGTGCTTCAGTCAATGACAATCACATATACAATGGTATCCCATGAGGTTGTAATACTGTATTTTTATTGTACCTTTTTCTGTTTAGATACATAAATACTTAACATTGTATTATAGTATGCAGTACATAGCATGCTGTACAGGCTTCTAGCTGTGGACCAACAGACTACACTACATAGTCAAGGTGTGTAGTAGGCTATGCCATCGAGGTTTGTGTACACTCTAGGATGTCCACACAATGACAAAATCGCCTGAAGAGATGTTTCTCAGAATGTGTCTCCATCGTTAAGCAATGCATGAAGAGGGCCCTCACTAGACATCAAATCTGCCAGCACCTTGATCTTGGACTTCCCAGCCTTCAGAGCAATGGTGTGTACATGGACATATTACCTCGTGCTGACTGCTGAAAGTTCCAGGAAGCAAAGACACCCAGTAAAAAGGAACAAATCTAGTACCCAGATTTCAGCTTCTAACACCATTCCTTTCTAAAAGGAGACAGAACTCCTCAAAAGAAATGGCTGATCCCGAAGCCAAGTAGGATTCGTACAAGATAAGTCTGGAACACATTTTTATACCATAAAGCAAGGAACTGTTCCAAAAAATTGATGAGAGTATGTGACAAGCCCACAGGAACCAGATCAAAGTGGCCTCTACTAGCAATGTAAACATCAAAATAATAACATGTAATAATGAATTATAAACCATTAAAAACAAGAATTGAGCTCATACCAGTGATGATGATTGAGAGAGAGAGAGAGAATTAGAAAGGCTTTGTAGTTGAGATAGACTATTTGTGTTGCTCCAAAATTCATATGTTGAAATCCTAACCCCCAAGGTGATAGAATTAAGGGTCTTTGGGAGATGATTAGGTCATGAGGGTAGAGTCCTCATGAATGGGATTAGTGCCCTTAAAAAAGAGACCCAGAGATAGCTCACCCTCTGCTATGTTAGTTTACAGTGAAATGACAGCTACGTGTGGACCAGGAAGAGGGCTCTCACCAGACATTAAA